AAGAAGTCATGCTCATTATGCTTTCTCAAAAAGAAGTCATACTCACACTTAACTATACTCAACGCTGCTGGTCAGTCCCTCTCAACATCTCTAACAATGAAGCAACCCTTAAGAGCCCAGCCTTGTCCAGTTTTCCTTTCTTGAAAAATTAACTAGCATATTCATGTATAACCTCTACTGGAAGGCAAGATCCCATCTCCAACTTTTCGAGACTAAATTTCAACAGCAGCATTAAGATTCCAGATAGTAATCACACTGTTTGTACATTATCAAAATGCGGCATAAATCAAAACGTGGCACAGCAAATCTCATCCATTCTCTGTTTTACACATGTGGATTTGTACTATATGAAGCAAAGCCAAGTCCTGAGCCATGAATAGAGCTCCCTGGCACTACAAGGCTTGAGATAGAAAGCAGAGTCTCTATCCCTGGTGTATTACACAAGGGCCAGATTCTAACCCACCTACACACAGCAAGTCAAAACTCAACTCCCACTAGCCGTGGAGCAAGGTGCAATCCAGTGCAAGCGCAAGCAGCTAAAAAACCATAAGCCCCCAAACAAATAAACAAAATGTCATCCAGAAACAACAACTGATAGAGGCTAGGAAGCAGCAACGCTGTCAAGAAAAAGCCTTAGAGACCAGCTCCCCAGGATGTGAGGAAAGGGGTAGGGGCTTTGTGCAGAAAAGTAGAACATCGGCTTACACAGAAATCTGCTCTTTCAAGAATTTCCTACACAAGATAGGCAAACCACTTGGCCCCCTGCACCTTCCCTTCCCCAATAAAATCAGAATTACAGCACTGTCCTAACTCCAGAGGATGTAGGAAGGACTGAAAATTGCCAGGTACTCAGTCATCAGCGCAATGCGGGGGCAGTGAACCTCCTCTGACAGAAAAGATATATTATATTTAAAACTGTGCTTAAGCAAGTATTCACCACCACCCCCTACTCCTCCCCTGCACAGCCAGGTACAGCCACACAGCACTGCTGTTCTGGTAAATCAGGCTTTCTTGTGCACCAGACAGCCAAGGTTGACTCGCAGCTACACATGCCACATCCTTTTAGCTTCTGCGCCCATGTTTGTGAACCTGTGGCACATGAAGCCATCACCTGAGGCATATGAGGTACCTAGTGCACCCCCAATCTTTGCGCAGGGACACTGTGAGCAAATTAAGCTTAAAGCCAAGAGCACCTGAGGATTTCAATAACACAGCCCCCATCCCTACCCTCAAAAAACAGCTTTAAAGGTTACAAGACTGGAGGGCTACAGAGAAGATTCAGCACAAAACTAAGTGATGGGGTTTAGAAGTGGGGGAAAAAAAAAGTTTCAGATGGGGCAGAGGTGAGCGCAACTACAGAGAAAATGAGGAGCTGCATCACTAGAATAGCCAGAAGGGCAAAGAAATCCAGACACCCAGATTTTCAAGACACCATGTCCAAAATGCCTTACCATACCCATTACAGCTGCTGATTCCAAGCTCTGCAGGCAACCTGCTACCGGACTGTAGATGTCTGAAAGGCCTTGGGGAAGCAGCCTCAGACACAAGGGAGGATAATGGGAAGAGAGGAAAATGAAAGGAAAAAGAAACTGGACAGAGATCAAACCCTCCCCCATGGAACTGAGCAATAGATTCTTTGAGTGCCCTTAATAACACGGGCCTCCCGGGATTGCTGAGGGCTCCTAGCGCCGCTGGGAGGGTGCTTGGCATTTCCCCAGGATCAGACCAAAAAATAACAGGCTTTTCTACATGCCCGAGAGTCTAAATAAAAACAAAGCACAAATGACAATCTAATATTGTAACGTAATTTCAGATTCCGTTATAAATCTTAACTTCATTAAACTGATTGTATTACGGAGGAAAAAAAACAATTTAGCATCCCTGCTGTTTATTTTATTTCCCAAAATGTATAAATATCAAACCAGTCTAATCCTAACTAACTATAATGAACCTTACAAATAACTGGGTCTATTTAGAACTGCATATGTAGGCTCCATAAGAGCAGTTTCCAGTGACATCGAATGCAAGTTAATGTACCCACAGAACTGTACTCCCAGCATGGGCTATTTCACTACTCCAGCAAGTTTTTTGAACTCAGCTTCTGTCCCAGAAATGTCTTCAGAAAGAATGAACATTAAATAAATGATACTGTATGTTACAAAAAATCTCTGCTAATTTTTCATCCCAGTCCAAAAACCAAAGATAATTTTGTCAAGAGCAAATTAAAAAAAAAAGGCAAAATCAAATTATAATTTAATATGGGTTGGCTAATTGATTTGCTTGGGGTTTTTTTTGCTTTTAGCTATGTGTTAAATGTTTTGGGGTTTTTTTTTGTTTTGGTTTTGGGTTTTTTTTTTTTTTTTAAGTTTCCTATGTTTATTATGAACTCCAGGTCATAATGACTGTGATTCTCCACATATTTTTGCAAGTGGGTAATTTTCAGTACCTAAATATCCCTGACTAAAGCAAGACTGCATATTTTTAAATATATTCAGGTTTTAACTCACATCATGCAACACTAGGTCTTTAAAATACCCATGCAAAACACTACACATACATACAGATAATGTCCCGAGGATTGCAGAGGGGAACCCCTCTGCAGCAATCTGCATGCTGTTGGTTGCACAACTGAGACAAATGAAGGAAGAGAGAACCTGAGCCAAAACAGCCTTCTTTAAAGATGCATCATGTAAATTAGAAATAATGAAGCAATGTTTTCCCTCTTATCTGTACACCCCTGTTTGGGGTAGAAAAAAAATTATCTTCCTGGGACTGGGAGACCATTGTAGTTCTAGAAGAATAAGATTTGCTCCACCATTGCCAGCCAGGGCTGGGCTGTCTGCTCTTCAGAACTTTCTGGGTGTTTGTGCCATGACAGCACAGAGCCTGTTGGGAAGAAATAGCTGTCACGTCTGAGCTGCAAATGCTGAAGCGAAATACTTGGATTTAAACTATGAATTAAAAATCATCTAGGCTCTGTAAATTCTCTGCACCACATAATCATGGATTATTTGGTTCAATAAAGACTATCAACAACGCATATGTGTCGATTTCTAAAAGCGTATAAATAAAGGAAAAAAAAAGGAAAATGAGGTTGCTTGGGAGACATTTTTACAGGAGACTTTTAAATTACAAGATCTGCATGAGATCTAAATGCGTATTTTCTCTATAGTAATTAAACATTTTGAGACAGAAGTAATTAAGAAAATCTCTTGTCCACACATGAAATGTCAGTTTTGCCCCTCATCAAGGGCTTGATATTTAATTCAAAGTCCATTCAAACTCCACTAGACAGGACTTACTGAATTGTTCCTTTGACTTCAACAGGAAGGGATGATACAGAGCCTTCCTTAAATAAGGCTGATGCTATCCTCAGCATCATACAAAACACACTGCAGTGAATTTGGAGGCACCCTGAACTTCACAGTTGTCACTTCCCGGCACTGCAGCCATCTGGAAGGCCTGCCATCTCCTACAGCAAGTGCAAGCTGCTACGGCTTGCGCTAAAAGAAACTTCCATTTCCAACTGTGTGTGTAAGGTCTGAGCTCCCCCAAAACCCGCTCTAGTCTCTGCCTGGAGCAGACCTGACGCCGGTCACTCCCTGAGGCTGAAATAAGCATGGGAGGCAACTCACCAGACTACACTCTCACTCTGAAGATTCAATTTGGCCTCGATATTCCTTCTATAATGAAGGATTTAAAGAAGGCTAGAAAATATCTTTTTTCTGCCTCTCTGTTGCCTTTCCCCCCACATCAATATATTCAGCCTGTCATGCTAACAGCCCAGCGGGCTGGTCTCAGCCCAAAAAGGCACCCCTTGAGAGCTGTGCCCGAGGGCTCTGTGCTGGCAGGGCATGCTGAGCACCCAGGGACAGGGAGCACTCTGCATCCCTCTCTAGCCTACAGGCTGCTGGATTCCGGTACTAAGGAGCTCCTGAGGGGGATGTGCTTCCAGCCCTCCTCTGGAGAAGGGCAGGTTGCCATGACAAAGGCCTTTGAGAGAAAGAGGTGTGGGATGGAAAAATAGTATGTGAGAAACCTAGAGGGAAAAATACAGATCTCAATTCAGCATTTGCCATCATTTCCCAACACAAAGTCACTGGGATTTGGGACTTAATCACCTGAGCCACCTGCCACCATTTTACAGATTGCACAGGCCTTGCTCCAGTAAAAGCAAGCTTGCAATTGCCTCTTCAGAATTATACTTTATGCTTCTAAAGTTTCTCCATCCCGGAAGGTCTCAACAAGGTCTGAACAATTCTACAGAAGGGAGCAAAAGAAAACAAAAAGAACAGGAACGAGAGGGGAGAGGCAGATCTTCCCACAGCGCCAAGTGACAGGCTTAATCCTGTTGTCTCTTCCAGATTTAAGAAACCAAGAAATATGGCACTGTATAATAAAAGAAGTGTCAAAAACATGGAGTTCTACAATTACCAAGCAATCAGAAAGCTGGGAAATCCCACTGCCCTGAAAGGCAGAGTGAAAGACGGCTTCGTTTTCCTGAGCTGAATTTTTAACACATTGTACATAGCAGCCAGCCATCTCCCTCTCTCCCATTTGTTGTAGGGGATCCATTTCAAAACATCATTTCCTTGCTTCAAATCATGCCTGTCATTACAGTCCCAAAGCACTCAGGCTGCACGCACGCTATCCCTTAAAAGCGGTGACTTCTGGGTTGGAAAGACATCAGCTGTATATAATGGGAATAGCTATTGCCTACCTCCTCCCTGAACCCTATGAACAGATCTCCCTATTCCCCTTCCCTCTGCAGCATCTGAGCCTTGGCACAGAGTCAGCTGGCAGTGCCACTTCAGATACAGCTCCCCTGTGTCCCCTCTGCTCTCAGCGCTACGGATCCAGAAGGGACGCTGTACTTGTGTGTCCCAGCTCTGAATCCCCCCACACTCAGATTCTTCCCATTTTCCCCGCAAGGTAAGTTTTCCTCCTCTGCCTCCAGCTTTCCTCTCCAGCTTCATCCTCCCAGCCAGCCAGCCCTGCACCCCACGCTTTCCAGCCCGCATCCTCAGCCTCCGTGTGGGCCTCGGGTCTTGTAGTCCAGGACTTGGAACGGAGGGGAAGGTCGAGGCGTAGCCATGTTCGCATTCTGCATGAGAATCAACAGGCAGGGCATTAAAAAAAAAAAAAAAAAAAAGCCATAAAAAAAAAAAAAAGGAAAAAAAAAAAAAAAAATCAGCAGGCAGGCCTCGCCACTAACCCGTCAGCCTAGCTGGGGAGGCCCTTAACCACAAGAGCTCAGGGAAATGACTGATGATGTATTCAGAGGGAAGTGGACTGGGAGGTGGAGAAAAGAGAGGAAGGGGAGTGTAAAGGCTCTGCCAACCTTGGAGGAAGGACAACACCACTCAAACACCTGAAAACATCAAAAGAAAACACGACAGCCCGGAGAGCGCCTCGTCTCTCTCCTCCTGTCCAAGCTACCTGAACCGGGCAAGCCAGGCATGTTTCACTGTGCCATCGAGCCCTCTGCAAAGCCAGAGCCACCCACCACCATCCTTCCTGCCCGGTGGGACGCTTTCACGCCAATCCCCACTTTTCCTTCCAGCAAACGCATTCACCCTCTCCGCAAAAACCTTTCACCTCAGCCACCGCCTCCGGCGGGACCTGCCAGCCCCGTCCCTCGCCAAACCCCTCACTGCACCGGCCCACCAGCCAAGCTCGCTCCGACCCCCTTGGCCGGGGCCGCTCTCGCCCCTCCGCGGGGATCCCTGACCCCAACCCCGCTCCCCCCCAGGGAGGGCTGCTGCCCCAGCACCCCTCCCCCCCCCATTACCTCTCTCCCTTCGCTCCAGATACTCGGCCGCCTCCAGCAGCCGCTGGATGTTGATCATCTGGACCCGCTCCATGGCCCCCACGCCCGCAGGCGGGGGGGGCCGC